ATATGCCAGACAGTATTTGATTTCTGCTCTTGCATGTTTGAAAACTTTAACTTTGATTTGTCACTTTTCAAAAAGGATTGATGACTGATTAATTCCTTAAAGTATAAAAGACACAGAATGTACATAAAATATATTTCTATATTATCAACAGTTGATGCGCCTTATTGAACTATTTGACAATGATTGACAACCAAAGTGCGTCTTAACCTCAATTTCCTATTTTTTTCGTCATGCGTTCTGACAGCTGTCACCTAATTCATTACCACTAGTGAATTTAAATTAATAATTTCAAGTTTTCATCAAAATGTCTATGTTAAAAAGGACAGTCTGACCAGAGAGTGGATTTAATGAAGCGCTTTTGGTAGCTGATCTTTTAGTTGACCCTAAAGTAGTATTATTCATGGTATGATACTGAGGATATTGTGTTCTATAAAATAGTCAAAAGTATCCTCGCAATGCTTTCATATGAATAATGAAATAGCAATGGTACTAATACTCTTCGATCTTCACATTTTCCACTCTACAGTGAATGCATTTTACTCATACAGTGAAAGGTAATATCCGAACAAAAGCTTATCAAAAAACTGTTTTCAGAATCGAAACAAAAAATAGAATTAGCAATTATAATTAAGAATTCCGTAATAATAAGTTTATTGTAAAAACCAAAAAACAATACCTTAATGTACCAGTTTTATTTTGCTCCCTTAGAATTTATTGATGACATTTTTTTAAATGTTATAATGCGCTTGGAAATTAATCCAAGTTTTTTCTTTCATGTGTATTCCATTTAAGTTAAAAAAAAATAATAGACTTAAACAAAATTTTTTTGAGGTATCTAAGCTTGACTTTGAAAACCAGTAATGTCTTTTCTCCCTTTCCGCCATTGTACCACATTTTACTTCAATTCATTAAAGCAGATTTTTTGAGCTGAAATGAGCTATTTCTATTTCAAGAACTAAGGAAAGGATGAGCATTAAATTAAACCAAATTACGGCTCAAATATTAATTATAGAATATCTGTCATATCGTGTCATTTAACTGTAGCGGTAAAATAATCTAGCATAATATAACTCAATTAAAGTTTCTATTTCATTTCAATTTTATATCATCGATTTATTTACTGGAAAAAGGCGATAACTGCAATGAAGGTTTCTAGTGTTAAAGACGTTATGATGTATGTCAAAATAAAAGTAGCTTTAGGCCGTGTTGTAGGTGAACATAATAAAATTTTAATCTGCAAAATATATATTAACCTCACGATATTTTCAAAATATACCGACCAAACTCAGTTCGGATTTAACTTAGTATCTTTGCTAGATTTTTTTTCCAAATTATCAGACTTGAAACTTTTGCGGACTTGTAACCATCAAGTTAACGTTCTTCAAGTTTAACTTACAATAATAGCTCATAGCTTCTTTAGTACTCGCAACTTCGGCACTTTGAAATATAACGGCCAGCGATAGAGTGATGATAGCAGGAGAGAGAGAGAGGAGATGGATGTATGTCCTGCCACTTTCATGTATTATTTATTCACATGTGACATAAACTCTGATATATTTTGATATGCTTTCTTCCGAAGAACGAAAATGTAGTTCCATAAAGTTAACAGTAAACAAATGCACCAAAACGTTGGAATGACTGAAATAATTCTCCAAATTCTGTTTTAGTATTTTAAGGTTTGAATTGTGAAACTGTGTAAGAAATGCAATATAGATTTAATGATAAAAAAGTGAAATGAAGCCTTACGAATAGGTGTTTCATAAAAAATAATATTGCTTATAACTGACAAAAGGCTTGTTAGTAATATTGGTTGCCTTCTTGATCTTTCTTCAAAGGTTTTTTTGGGCATTCTAGATAAAAAAAGGCATCATTTTACATAACTGATGGGAAATCAATGACTTGTATAGGATAAGTGCTAAGGCTTTCTCGTCCTCCGCTTTAAGGCTCCACTCTTAGCATTAAAGTATATTCCAGCAAACAATATTTTGCAAAAACTTGCTTTTTTTTCTAGCTACCACTGCCTTTTTTTACTCCTCATTCATAAATCATATAACCGAAAATCTATCTCTTTTTTTAACTCCATTTGATAAAAAGCAATATGGGTGAAGAGATGGAATTTATTCGATTAATTTTTTCGCTTCCTTTTAGCTCATAAAATTGTTCCTGGCAAAAATTGACAGAATCTGATAAATTGGTCCATTCATATATGCATAGCATATTTAGTTGTAGTAGATGAACTCCCTTATTCATTTTAAATTTTAAATCATAAACACATTTTCACTTTTAAAATTATCTCTATTGTTGTATGTGATGTATTATCGACATCAAAATTTGTATCATTTAAAGAAAAAGTTGAGAATGACATGTCATTCCGAAATGTTTTAATTTTGTTGATTATTTTAGCTAATTTGATATTCTCGATAATAGAAGTGTTAACTTGTATACGCTTAAACAAGTGTTTAATTTTTTCACTTTTTTAGTAAAATAAAATTAAAAATAAAACAGCTCTATTTGATTTACCAGATCTGTTTGTCATCAGTGCAGTCTTTGTATAATAAATACGCAAGTTAAATTTTAATTACTATTAGTTAATATAATAAATGTATTATAAAGTTCTTTTGTACAAAATGATCTAAATAAACTGATTTTTCAAACTTCTGCCAAGTTCGAAAACAATTTTGATAATATAAATGAATTTAAAGAACAGATTTGCTTATGAGGGAACATTATTAGCTAAGATTTGCCACCTGCCTCGATAATGGTTGACAAGAAAAAAGAGTTTCTAAAAGGAACGGCCATATTAAATAGTAAGACTGCTTTTATCGTTCATCTTATTATATTATTTTTACGAAGACATGTGAAAAGAAGCGTTTTTTTGATTGTGGAATGATTAAATTTATTTTTTTTAAATGTTGTCGAATTTACAAGAACACATTTGACAATGTTGAAAAATTGTCAGCCCGCTAGTTTTATGACAAAATCTCTTTCAAGCTTCAAGTTCTCATATTTCTGTTATATTCCCCAAAACAACATGTTTTTTGCCATTTTCTTTAATTTTTTTAATTCGTATTGATTCATTTTAATTTAGATGATTTCGTATTAATGTAAGACAATCGTATGTGCGAATGAATTTATATATTTAATAACTAGTAATATGTATTTATGTAGATAATAACGATCAGTAAGAATTAATTAATTTCTAATTCCAAATTTAAACAATTCTAACTAATTTTACACAGAAGCATATTATCATTTCAAAGTTTTCTATTTGAAATACTTTTTTTTCTGTTTCTTCTCATTCATAACAATTTACGTTGACATAACGACAAAATGAGGGATATGTGAAGTAAATGTTTACATATTAAGGTGAAATTCATGTTGTTTATTGTCCTCATTTCGCTCAAGTAGAGCATTGGACGAATTGTTGGTTGATTACTTTTAAAGGAATCCTTTTGAAGGAAAGCAGTCAACAACTGTTAAAAACAAAACATTCATGCAGTGCTCTAAATTTTAGTCGGTACTTGATTGATTACAAATTCAAAATCTTTTGAATTTATTAAAATTTCCTAAAAAACATTTTTCCCCTTTTTTGAATCTTATTTAAATGAAGTAATGAAAATTTCATTTATGCACGTATTTTTTCATTCATTTTAGAAATTAACCAATTCCAGCTCTCATATTTTCTAAAGTTGCACTTCATTCTTTCATCACTTCGAAGTCTAAAAATGTATTACAGTGGTGCGCGTAGGAAGCCTAAAGTATTAGTCATTTTTAACTTCTATCAATCCTAAAATGTTTGAAATACATCGTTTCTCTTCCTGTAGAAATGTAGTTTAATGATATTTAAATTTTTTTTATTGTTGCTTTATCGAATAAAGAACCAAACTGTTTCAGGAAAGTAAGCCAAGCAACAAAATTGGTTGTTGTTAAGAAGAAATGACTTTTGACTGTCCCTTAATGAAGCCTTATCCAGCTTCCAATTTTCTGCTTCTTCTCCTCCTTCCCCCTCTTTCTAGCTAATTAATCCTTGATTCTGCAACAACTCCTCTTTGTCATTTCTATTCATGCTTTAATATTTTCCTTACTAAATCTCGAAATTTATTTTGCATTTTAATTTATCATATTTAAAATTTATTTTTATAATAATCCAGATTTCTTCACTCTAGCTTCACTGACTTTCAATTTATTCGAACTCAGAAAATTCCCATGCTCCATCATATTCATTACCGGTTACTATTAAACAACTTTGTAAATCTGCATAACGAAGTAATATGTTTATGGATTTCAGTCACTTGGAATGCTATAGTATTCCCCGCTTTTTGACATTTGCTTTATCACAACAAAATGCAATTTTAATTCAGTTGATATTTACACTCAGACTATAGAGGTAACTGAAATCCATAAACATATTACTTCGTGAGGTTCTTTTAAATTATAGTTGAAGTTCTAAATTTTTAAACTGAAATCTTAAGCAGCACTTTCATTTTACAATTCTATATTTTGCAAATGGGTAATTTGATTTCCCATTCAGTGTGTTTTGAATTTCTTGATATCTCCGACTGTCATAAAAGTTTAAATACGTATGATAAGTAAAGATCTAGATTTCTGAAATTTTCTTAAGATTAAGGAAAGATTTTTAACTTAATGTTAATCATCTTTATTCGATCTTCTAATATGCTAAAGACAAAGATAATTTGCCGTAAATTAAATGCTCTCAGAAAATTTTTCGTTGGTAACACCTTGCCAGTAATAACAAAAATTGATAAACAATTTCAGGTTCTTCATTTCATGCATAAGTGTACTGATGCGGTCGACAGCAAATTAAGTTAGCATGGATGGGCTATGAAATTAACGAATAATTGATTATTATTGGAAGATTGTTGCCAACGTGTACTATTCTCAATTCTAGGTGAAATTGTTGAGTGCAAGAAGTAAAAGGTTGAAACATTAGCGGCACAGCATTCTGCCGCTAAAGCGATCCAGCGATTTTCAGGTGCGTTATGCACCTTCCATCGTTATTTGCATGGCTGCTTCCAATTTCAATAACTGCTGTCTGTGCAGTGAAGTGCTATTGTACAGATGATCACTGTGTACCCTACGGTGTATGTGAAAGTACAATATGCTTGGTTGGAATACTCAAAAGTTCCAATTCAGTTATCCGAACATGCGGTACGGAGATGATTGGCTGCCGAAGAAATGTTGGAAGGTTCGTTTGCCTTCAGAAAACAAAACAAAAATTCAGAAATATTTCTGAAGCATTTAAAATGAGCAAGGGAAGTAATGATTGCTAATCACCAAAAATAAGCAATACGGAATACTAGAAATGCGCATAAATGTGATGTTTTGATTTAGTCAACCAAATAGCACTATTATTGAACAGGAATCATTCTGGTTATCATAATATGTGGATAAAAAACCGGGAAGATTTTGAGCTCTATATTGTACTTGAAATGAAGATCTCCGTATTCACATACGAAACTACTCCGTCGAAACTCTTTCATATATTTAATTAATAGCACTGTTGACCGACTGTTAGCAGACACTGAATAATGTTCCGTTGTAGAAACACACTTTGCAGTATAATCGTCTCACTTCAGCACTGAGTAGCATATTCAGTTCAATACTAAAATATTTCCTGAAGTGTATCCGAGTGGGAAGTGGAAAATCCCGGATTATCTGACATTTATTAATACGTTCAGTGCGCTATAAATTATTTTGTTAGACTTATACCTTGGGACAAAAGCACCAAATTAATAAATACATTGTTTTTCGATGAATTCGTCTTCCAGAAATTTTTCTGTGTTTAACAGTAACATACATTAGCATTTAGTCCACATTTTTCTTTAGTGCTCCCTGTTTTTTTTAGTATTAGCATCTTATTTTTATCAGCATGATATCAGGATTTGCGCTAACATCTATTATATCATGACTCCTGTCATCTGTAGTTATACAATAGACAAAATGAGTTTCACCCTCTCATAGATGACCATACCAACTGTTTAATCTGTATACTATTTAACTGCCTAATCTACATGCTCCTTAGATTGAGATTGTTATCAATAGCCAAATATAGTCTCTCAACATTTTAACTTTAATATATTGAAGTGTACTTTTGATTTATTTAAAGCTTTTGGGAATTTGTCTCATCGTTCATTGACAAATATAGTATTATTATCGCTCCATCGATATAGAAAGATCAGATAGATTTTAGGAAAATCAAAATAATACACTACAAAAAGTGAAGTAGAATTAGCTTATTTTTTTATGTTTTAAATTAAAAAAATTTAGCAATTATAAACTTATTATCTTCAGGTGGCTTGATTTGTGCGCTTGCGATAAGCCTCTGTGCAATACATTTTCATATCTCAGGAATAATGCTAAACGTGAAGATGAAGTGTTCAGTGGCGATTCCCTCATTTTTAGTCGTATACACAGGTAATCAATTAAATATGCTTGATACCTGATAATTTCCTCCTTTGTACAAATATCCAGAAATTAATTGACTAAATAATGGCTATCTTAATGAAATTGATGAAGAAATGATGAAAGTAAGCTATAAATATAAACAAAATTTAATCAGTAATACATTTTGATTTAAAATTTTCACTGCAATTTTGAAATCTAACATTTGTGCAGATTTCAGTGTGGATTCAAATCCATCACATCCGGGACCAGATGCTCCGTTATCCACTCGTACATCTTTCCTCACCATACTTCTTGTCGGTGTACCATTAGCAGTTGGAGCTGCCACCGTGGTCGTTGTTGCCTTCAATTATTACTGCCACCTGTGTTAATTTATCCTGTTCTCCTTTATTAGCCTTTTCTTCTAATTAGCCGTTAATCTATATTCACATAGAAATTGGGTGTGTTTCTCGGAGTTTTCAGAACTTTTGTGAATTCAAGCATGTTGCACTTTTTCCTAATTAAAATTTGATCTTGACCATTCCTTACTGCCACTTCATACACCTCCAATTTCAATTTTTTTTATGCCTTCCATCTTCAATAACAAAAAAAAAACAGTGCTTTCAAAAATTTTATAAAGTTAGAAATTTGAACGGACAATTCAAAATTAGGTTTTTACAATCAAATATATAGAATTAATAACTTGGAATAATTAAAAAATACACATCTGTTAGGTATGAAAAAATTTGTTTTCATATTCTTGTCGTTTTGTGATGCAAAATTTCGTTAAGTTCAAAAAGGATTTGATTACTTATTTCATTCTTCCATACAAGTCCGTTGACACAATGATGAAAATTCTTCAAATGCTCAATTTGAATCTTGTGATATTTTATTATGTGTAATAATATTTCGGATATGTGCTACTTCAATATTTCTAACAGGTATGGGCTGCTAACAGGAATTCTCAAGTGAATTTCTGCGGGCTGAAGTATATTTCTATTGGATCTTTTTATGAATTACCGAACTAGCTTTTAAAAATTGTTCTTCGATTTTTCTTTTTTTTTGGAAAGTCTCTTCTTCCACTTCATTGATAACTCATACTTTGTTATTGTTAGATGAGAAAAATGAGATCAGAAAGTACTTCTAGCATCATTCTATTCATTTTTTTTGTAATCTGAATTTTCTCCATATTATTTCTTTGATAAAATGCAGCAGTTTTATAGAGAACTGCTGCATTTTACCAAAGAAATAATATGGAGAAAATCAAAAAAAATCATAAATTCTCATTTGGATACAATGAAGTTATGGAGCTTATTAATAGTTATTAAGAGAAAGATGATAATTTTGATCTTGTTTTATTTTTAAATTTTGAATGTTGAAAAGAAGTCACATAGAAGCGCAAATTATTTATTAAACTTGTTTGATATTACAATATCTTTGCAGAAAAGGAATTTTTAATAACGATAGAATGAGTGCTCGTTCCCAGTGAGATTTATGCTGAAGTGAGGCTTCTTTAAACTGTAGAAAATTACTGAATACTGGTGAAAATACGCTGTTGTTATGAAACGGTTAAAATGTGAAATAAAATAACTAAATGGTTGTTTCGGAAGAATGAAGTATAACATTTTGAAAAACAAAAAATAAAACGATTTTCATTGCGGAATTTTTTATTTTGATGGAATTAATTGTTTCAATCATTAAATTTTAACTTCAGGGCAAAATCAAGAATTTTTAGTAAATGAGCAATGCCACCTTCCACTGCTATGTTTTTAATGAGCAAAAAGATATCCGTTTGCAAATAAGGGGTCTTTGTTTTGCACTCTCTTGATATCTTGCACATCGCGAAATTAAACACTTCCAAAAAAAATCGCTTTCTGTAATTTTGAAACGAACAAGCAACCTGAAATTGCACGACCATGAGTTTAAGCTATCAAGAAGCACTCAATATTGTGGTCAGGAAATAAAAAAACATAATGCAAATTATAAAATTAAATTTGTAATCACCCTTCCAAATTTGAATTTCAAATAAAAGTGGATTTTTTTGAAGGACCCTAAAAAAATTTAGCAGAACTGAAACCTTTAGAGATTGGAAATTTTCAAAATTTATTCTGAAGGTTAGCAATTTTTCTGAAGTATTTTTAAAAATGATTCAGTGTTTCTTTTCAATATTATTAACGAGGAAATGGAAAAAAATAGCACGAAGTTGATTTGCTATTTGTGAATGAAACAAATTAGTTCAGTAGTTACCACTTATTTTCACACTGATTACATCAGCTGTTCAAACTCTATATTATACTTCTTTGTAATACAAAAGATGATATGCTGCCAACTAATTTCAAGGAACTATGCACACTTCTTTAGTAAACGAAACTGTAGACTGATCCCGCTTTGATAAATATGGTTACTTTGATTTGCAAATTTCTTTCGATGTCGATCCATTTAATCTCAGTACCATGAATACCATGAACAGTTTCCTACAAATTTTAAAGAAGTTAGAGAACAAAGTCGCTCTAGAAGGAACATTAATGATTTTCCGTTAGGGAATAGAATACGACCATCAAGAATTTTTCGAAAAAAAGATTGGAAAAATCAGTTGAAGCTTGAAGCGTTGCAGATAAGTGCCAAGCAAATGAACAATACATGGACCACAATACGCTGTTTAAATGAAACAAATATGTTTACAGATGAAAATTTGCCAAACTGTCGGCGATGTCAGTTGACGAAACATGCACGATTCATTATCTGCAAAATGGTTAATGGAAGCGATTGTGTTGTATATGGAATGTGAATGGTTGTTGGTTTTGAAATAAAAAAAGACAGAACAACTCAGATTCTTTATTCATTGCGTTTGTAACAAAAAATTGAATCTACAGCGAAAAAATCTGGAAGAAATTACGCAGTTCATTTTTAATCAAACTTTCAATGAGCAACATATTTTATCTATCTCTGAATAAAATATGTTATACCAAAACAACTTTGCAGAAACATCCATTCATTGCAATATCGTTAAGACTAACATAATTATGATATGATCAGTTGCAGAAGTGAAGTATATCATTTAAAAAAGTTTCAAATGTTTCACATGTTGTTCAATAAAGCTTTTGAATTGTGGTTTGAGGGCAATACACATAGCCATACTGTCTTCCGTCCATAAGTAATAATCAACATTACTATCCTGCAGCCTCTTCTCGACATTTCGCAATTCATTCTCGTTCGGTACCTATAAAATTGTAGTTTGTTATTTAGTGCTCAAAATCAAGATCTATATCGTCCCAGTTAATCCTTCTATGTTTTAATATATGACATATTGAAAAAAAAACTTGGGAAACTTTAATAGAATAAAATAACGGTCAAGGCAAGCATGATATGCTTTCGTTATTTTTATTAACTCGGTAGAATGCCCTACCTGGAAACCATGCATAAGCCCATCTTTCTACTGGAGACACCATTGTTTCATTGTGACAAAACGAAAGTATTACCTTCAGCGTAACTTTCCTTAAGTGAGAGATATCATTCATATATTCCATTACTTCACTATCTTGACGAAATGTCCATATGCATGCAGTTGCTGCATGTGCAGCTTGTGTTGCAACTGCACCGACCGACCATTTTAAATCAGTGATAAGATCAGACCTCATTATCAGGTACATTATCCGTGAATCAAAACCTGGCATTTTCTGCAAATAACTGTACGGCAAGTTGTGTCATGAATTCTCGAAAGATTTATATAACGATCCCACGAGGACACTATAAATTGAGAAAATTTTGAACATCTTTATCTCTCAAGTTTTTTCAAGTCCTTCAAAATTGGAGATTTCGCAAGTCGTTATTCTACAGTTATAATTAATCATCACTACAGCGTTTCTGCTCTAACGTCCTTCTAAACAGCTAAGCAATTAAGCAGAACCACCTAGCCTCTTAATTCAGGTCATATTTTCCGCTGACCGTAAAGTGTCCTACAGATAAAAGGTAAAAACGGTATAAAAACTAACTGCACTAGAATATACCAAATATCAAAAATCTAACAATAAATTTATCTGAACCAAATAAAAACAGCAACAAAAAGTACGATAATAAAACTAAATTACATGGTAAAACAAAAAATACATCTCTGTTAAGCAAAAGTCTTCGGAACATCAGTTTGAATTCGAAAGCCCCATTGATTTTCCGACGTATTATATACATATATTCGAATCATTCTTACTCAGGTATCCCACAACTGTTTTTCTGCTCACATCCCTCTAAAGTCTTTCTGATTTTCAAAAAAAACTTCCACAAATGGGTTGAACAAAGAATTCGAAAACAACGGTCAAAAAACAAAGCATGCATCAATATCGTAATTCATTCAATTATGTAAACAGTATATGAAAATCAGAGAACAAAAATAAACAATGTGGATCATTTTTTTACAGAATTAAGCCATCAAATCATGAGTTTTTTTCCAGAAATGCTTGGCAACACCTCAAACACTGTTCGTAAACCTGAAAATATAATCAATAACAGTAGTCCGAAACAATTTGAGGGTGTGACATCTTTTAATGCAGAATTTGACACCGCTTAAAAACTCAGGTTACAATTGATTCAATAACATCATAATATAATATAAAGAACACAGAAATAGAACTATGAACGAAATGTTAATAAATTACCCTTTCAAACATTTGCATTCCGCGACTGTAAAAAGGGTCCGGTATGACCAAATCACCCTCCAGATCATACTTGCCTAGATATTCGACAGTTGCTTTGCTTTTTATATTTCCTCGTAAATTTTCTAGATCTCTGAGAAGGTAACAATGATAATAAATACGTACAAATGAGCTTTCCAAATTAAAGGACGATGCTCTATTATCTGCTTATCTCTATTGTAAAGAGGTAAGTTCGAAAGAATATCTCATAAATATGGTGCATGCATCTTATGAAAATAGTGCGTGAAGAATTTTACTTTTCAAAAATTTCTTCATAGAAAGTAGTGTTGCAAAAATTTTCTGAAAATGCAAAAAGAATGGATAAGAAAAAAACTAAAGCGCGTTTTTCTTCGAAATAATTGCCATATTCCCCCAGATTTGAACCTCTTCTGTTTCTCCTCTTACGCCCTTCCCTCTTTCCTCCCTCCCCTCCCCTCACGCCTTTTTTGCCTACGACATTACAGTTGTTTTCTATAATGAAAAATTACTTTTTTCTCACAAAAAGCATAAAAGTTACTCAATGTTTTCATCATCCATACCAAATATATAGTCGAATTCATGAAAATCAGCGTCAGTCACCTGAAAATTCTCATATCAAAAAATATATTCTTTACGTGGAAAACTTTACATTCCGCACACACGTTCCAAAAAATAAAATATAAATCAATGCAATGGAATGAAATAAACCTGGCGAACTTTATGTTTGTAATCCGTTATCCCATGATTAGCCAGTGTTGTCATCGTCCTTTTATCTGGAGATTTACCAACATGAAAACTGATAATCGCAGCACTATCCACAGTCCATTTACCCACAAGATCTTTCTCTTTGATGAGATTCAAAAAAATTCCTTCAGCCATCGGTGACCGACAGATGTTGCCTGCACTAGGAGTTTAAATTATGTATGGCTATAATACATCCTTTCTAAAATATGAAGCACTCGCTTATGAAAGGAAATGGAATGAAGAACCATATTGCAGAGTTATTCACTATGAATAATCCTGCAATATAATTTTTCGGTTTGCGCATGTTGCCTCATATACCTATGGACGAGGCCTAAAGCAATCACAGTACATTTTGGCTTTTATCAAGTTAGAAGGCTCCGATTAACATACTTCTTATAATTAAAATGCATATGTCCTCATGAAGTTGTTAAAAAAATATGCGCTTACCTAAGCATACAAAGAGAACGCTTTTCTTCCCGCATTCTGCATTCATTGCTGTCTGTTTCACCAGAAATCAAATATCTGGAATCAACCAAGTCTATCTGATCGCAAAAGGCGGCTAAATAGAGACAAAATTATAAAGAAATAATAAAACTATTTTGAGGTTTACGCAGAGTTAAAACTTATCAGCCAGTATAAATAAACAAAGTGTATGCTGACAAATCAAGTCGAATTTAAATAAATTAAGTGCCGATACCAATATTACTTCAAATCTAATGTCAGGAGAACTGACTCTAACGTTCTAAAAGGGACCTGTTTTTTTTTTTCAATAAATTCCTTCAACTCCGTCCAATGAACTTACACACAAGCGAAAGGGCGTCCGACAATGAATTTCAGCTAAAAATGAAACAAACTCATCAAAGAAGCAGCAAGGCATCATTGTCAGAAATGATGAAATATCTGGTGGGCCAAAGAGAATGTTCTGTCTCAAGTATATCTCCACATCTAGTGCACAGAATGTCCAGAAGGAGAGACACATCCAACTCGTTATAGGCATATCTTGTTGCTAAAGTGTTACGTGAAAAGTAGAAGAGAACCCATAGTAAAAGTTCTTCCTTCACTTTCACAAGGATTAAATGCTTGAGTAAACCAAAGTTATCTCCCCAAATTCAACCATTCTATTTTTTTGGACGGGCAATCTTCTAGTACATTATCCACTAATCATCAGCAAAATGACAATGGTTGAACTTATCAAAGCGTTTATAAGCCAACCATGTTTGTCACCTTCCTATCTATGCAAATCAACAAGAATATGGATCGAATTATAGCATCGATCGTTCCATCACAAATCGTTTCTGTCAGTTATCTCCCATCCTACTCCAACCCGTAACACTTATTGATCGATTTTAGGGGCAGCTTCGATGTGCAGCCCTCTTCCCAGCCGGCCGTTTTTCATTAGGCTCTACGTGTGCAACTGCCTCGTCACTGCTGCTGCAATGCACATCCACATTCACACGCAGTTGGAAGGAAAGCAGACGGACGACTGAGTGATCTATCCATCCATCCAGTCGAGTGGAGGTCCGTTGTCTCTGTGTGTCGTCGCTATGGGTTGGTTTTTTTGTTTTCAAAAAGTTTCATTTTATTGTGACCAGTGATAATAATTTGCTTTCAAACTAGAAATGGTTAATAGATTGCTATCTCAGTTTCTATCTTTATATGCTGATGAAAACCAGCAGTTGCAAGCAAACTAGTAATTAACTTAATCATGCTTCCAAATTTTTACTTCTTTTGAGGAGTGAAACATGAATCGTTCACATTCTTCCTCTTTATCTGTTCATTTTTCTCATATCCTACCTTCATTGTCTCTCTGCTAAGGTAGCTCAATATGAACTTAATAGTGATCTTTTACCTTGAGTAATGAGATTGTTATAATGGGGAGCACCATTTTCTTTAGACATATCTTTTATGGCTTCTAGAACTAGATGACATGCCTTATAGTTTCTGCTGTTGGGGAGGTTGCAAAGGTTATACTAATTATTCACTTTTTTTCTTTGCAGGGAAAAAATGTTATGTATGCAAAAAAAAGTGTATTGGCGAAATTCTGAAGGCAGAAGATGAGAAATACATTCACATTTCGTGTTTTAAATGTGCAAGTAAGTCATTAGATCCGATCTGTCTTGAGGAAATATAGGATATTCACTTTGCGTTTTGTTACAGTTTTTTACAAATGAAATCGGATCCTGTCAAAGTAAGAGTCCTGTAGTCTCTTGGATTGAGAAACCAAGGTCTAACTCGTGAAGTAGATTTTCCGAAACCCAGAACTTTGTCTTTTTTTAAAAAATATAAAAGCAGTTTTTGCTGATTTTATAGTAATAACTCAAAAAGATTCCCTTGTTTTCTGAAGAAGTAGAAGGACCTATTCATCGTATCTAAGTATTGATTCCCTTTTGTTTTTCAACATTTTACTAACTTGTTATCTGCGATAAATTGCCACTTTCAAAATGATTTAGGGCTCTTTTTGGTTTATTCTGTTTGAGATAAATGGTTCAAAAGATTTAGATGGATGCGAAATGCTCAAAATTGTTCAGCGATATTTTAACTTTGTTCATTTTCCACTAAATCATGTAAAGCATGATTTCATTGTTGTTTCTGATTTCATAGTATTATCTTGTTCTCATTTAACTTTTTTTATTTTGGATTTGTTTGAAAACCAAAACGATTTATGAAGTTTTTCATCAACATCAGTTCCTTCTATATTTTTTATACTAACAAAGTAGAAAGTGTTTTTTAGAGTGCTCAAGATCATTGAGGGAAACTGGCTATTACACGGGTTCAGAAGGGCAGTTTTTGTGTGCTGAGGATTTTCGAGCTTTATCAGTGCCTTTGAAAGTGAAAGCTGAACAACAAAGTCTAAAACACGCTGATGAAACTTCCTTGTCGCCAGCGTTCCCGATTACCCCGCCAACGCAACCATCACCTCTTGCCTCTCCTGCAGGTATTTTACAGTTTGTCAAGTTAGCTGTGATTTAATTTCAAATTACTTTATTTTATTGCTACTTTTTCCCTTTCGCTTTATGTGATCGTTGCCCATGTTTCAGTCGAAATTATGTTAGCGTCAATACATAATATCAGACTGAATTCCAAAGCTTTTCAGGATGTGCGTCTTGTGGACAGCCATTGCAGAGCAGTCAGGTATTGCTGGCACTTGGAGAACAGTGGCATGTTTGGTGCTTTAAATGTTCTGAATGTGCTACTGTACTTCAAGGAGAGTACATGGCACATAATGGCAAACCATTTTGTATTCGAGATTACAATATGAAATATGGTGTCCTGTGCTATGAGTGTGATAAGTACATTGCTGGAAAAGTATTGCAGGTGAATATGCAACGAGTTTTTAAACTGTTTTGAAATGTGCATAGTCTGCGGGAAAGTTAAATAATCTTGAGACATTGCCGATGTGTGTTTAATGCTTCCAATAAGCCCTTCCAAGAACGAAATTGTTATAGTAGTGTGGTGGAAAAAAATTGGTTTGCTTTTTACAGTTGAGACTTAGTATTTTTATGCATACAACATTAAAACTTCCAAATATCGATAATAGTTTTCATTTATACAACATTAGGCTGGAGGTTACAAGTTTCATCCGACTTGTGCTCGTTGCTCACGTTGTGGTGAACGCTTTGGTGATGGGCAAGAAATGTACATGCAAGGCGATGAAATCTGGCATCCAGGTTGCGAACATACAAAAGTGACGGAAAACATTGCAGTAAGTAGTTATTTTAATATGTTTTGCACTTATGTTAATGGATTAAGTTATTTCTAAGTAGGATTTTATGGATAGATCAATACTTAGTAGCAT